TTCAAACCCTTAGCTCTGCAAAGCTCATTCCCTGCCCATCTCCTACACCATCAGAGTAACAAATAACAGACCAATATTCCTCATTGTAAAGATTTATCTTACTGCAGTTTCTACAATCATTGCCACTGGATTAAAATTTTCAGCCTGAAAAGATGCTATGGATAGCATTATGATCTGCAAATGGGAGGCACCTGGCAAGTTATCTTCTGTAATGAGTATCAAATAGAGCCCATTAATTCCTGCAACTGATCACCTGCACTTAGAGCATACAAGCAATCTGGCATTACTGCAATTATTCTTCAAGAAATCCTGTCATGCTCTGAAATACTACCAAGAGGAATTAGATGATGAGCTTTTCAGGCAGACATTTTTCAGCTCTTGTCTTCCATAAGCAAAATCTGCAACTGAACTCCTGCCAAAACTAAAATTTTACACTTAACAGAAGGGACAGTGTATGTTGTTGCCTGAATTCATCTCTGTTATTTAACATTCAGCACAGCATGCTTACATATGAGTAATATAACAGACTTAAGCACACATCTAAGTGTTTTGCTGAATCAAGGCCTAAAAGAGGTTCCACTGGCGTTAGGGCTGGGAAAGGATTTGAATCTACATTTAAAAACCATCCTAACAAGCTTCAGTTGTTTTCTCTAAGAGACTGTGGATAAAGATCTATATTGAACTACTTGATCCCAGCGAAACCAGATCGCTTTGGCTTTTACATTACCTGAAGAGAATTATCTGACCTTGGGGGGCGGGGGCGGGGGTGGAGAAGGAAAAAAAAAAAGCTATCCTGTACAGCTCTGAATCAATATATTACTGAGTTTTATCCTGAAGTTGCCAGAACCTAGTAAGACAATGAAGAGATTGACCATCTGAGCATTTTACCAAAACATCTAAACAGGACAGAAGTCTCCTGTTTATTTACTGTATTTCTAAATATTTCTTCATCTTTCTGTGTTCATGTTCCCAAGAGCTAACCACCATCACTGCAGAAGACCCCTGAGAATCCACCCTTGCATCCTCACACTTCTACACTAGCAGGGCTGGTGTCCTCACAGAGGTGCCTGCATCTGTGAGCGTGTTCTAGGTTCTCCCCTTAATTACAAGCAACACAAACCCTCCAGCGATGGTGTGACATACGATGGTGGGAGTCGAAAAGGACAGCAGTGGGACAAGCGCTGTATGCTCCCTGGAAGGCGCAGGAAGGCCCATTCTGCCACCCGCTGCCTTTTTCAACCAGGGCACCCTGACAGATGGCACTTGGCACCGAAACCAAAGTTAAACTCAAACAAATGCCTAAGAAAGGACTCTGACTCGGGCAGAATTTCCTACTGAGGGTCTCTTCACACTTCTCTGCATAACTGCACTTGTCTTTGCTGAGCTGAAAATACTCAACTGCTGAGTGCTGAAACAAGGCCCTTGGAGGCTTCATTACTCATTATCATGTTTCAGCCTGAGTGGTCTCCAAATCACAACTTTTCCCAAGGGTTTGCAATATATACTTTTTTTATTTTATTTTTTTAATTGTTGCTGGTTAAATATTGGGCCCTTATCTAAATCAAACATCTTCAGGTACAGAATTCATCTTCTTTGGTTACTGCCTTTTACTTTCTAGATCCGTTATACTGAAAGCAAGACTGATAACTGCTGGAGGAGAGTTTGGATCGTTCTTGTTATTTGGGAAAAAAAGAGGAAAAAAGAAAGGCAAGCTTGTACTCTCATATTTCTAAGAATACATAGGAACTAGTGCATAGGAACTGTTTTAGGCAGAGTACTCACGTACTTCTGTACTCTCCTGTCAAAGGCTCAGAAGGAGCATTAGTCTGTGTTCTGTGACCTCTTGCCTCACAAAGGTCATTAATGATCACCCAGTTACCTATGTACTGAATCTAAAAAGCTTGGCTCAACTTAAAACACTTTCCAAAGGGACATTTGGTCTTAATTTGAAAACAAAGAAGAAACGAGAATCTGCCACTTCTCTTGCTATTTCATTCCAGCAGTTAATCATCCTCATTGTATAAAAAGTGTCTTTGATTTCCTATTTGAATTGTGTAATTGCAGCCTCCAGAAAGATCTCTCTTGTGTTTGTCTCTGGTACGTATGAAACCACTTTCTAATGCTGTTTTATGGTAAAAGTATTTACGAGCTCCAACCACATGTCCCTCTCATAATTTCTGATACCCAAAATACACTGGGCTCTCACAATTAGCTTTCTTCCTCCAGCCTTTAATCATCTTGTAACTCCTTTTCAGACCCTCTCCACTTTTTGACTCATCTCTTTAAAGGTGGGCACCAAAACCAGAGCGCAGAATTCTCAGAAATGTCACACTGAAGGTAAAATGAACTACCTGTTCATAAACTGCACTACTATGAGAAGTTTGTGTTTGGTTGCTTGTACAAGATGTCCTGTAAAGCCTTTTCAGCAGCACACTGCAGGATGCAATTCCCATAGGTGGGACCTTGTCATGGTTTAAAACCCCAGCCAGCAGGTAAGCACCACGTGGCCATTTGCTCTAAAACCTTGTGGGTTGAGATAAGGACAGTTTAATAGTACAACACAAGGAGAGAAGTAATAATAACAATAATATTAATAAAAGAATGTATAAAGTAAGTGATGTATAATGCAATTGCTCACAACCCAGAACCTGATGCTCAGCCTGTTCCTGAGCCTCAATCCCTCCTCCTGCCCCTCCCCCAGCTCCCCCAGTATATATACCGAGTATGACAGTCATAGGGTATCAAATATCTCTAGTTCAGGTCAGCTACCCTTGTTGTGTCCCCTCCCAGCTTCTTGTCAAAATTAACTCTATCCTAGCCAAACCCAGGACAGACCTGCATGCCTCATTCCCAACAGCTGGACCTACCGGCACTGTCCTGAATCACTCTGGTTTTCCCAAGGACCACACAGCCCCAGATAAAGTGGGGAAGCAAAGAGTTAATGCAACAACCCCTTTCCAGCTATGCTCATTCTGATACCATTTCAGAGTTGAGTGGAGAGGAAAAGCTCTGGTTTTGACTCACCATCGCATGCAGCTGACCCTAAGCTTTGATCAAGTTTTTTTACCTGCGCTCTGGCACCACTGCCACGTTAGCGGCACATCCACCTTTTCGGTGCCTAACGTAAGTAAGTCCCCACACATTCCCCTTTCAATGGGATTGTATCAGAGGCTGCAGACAGAAGGAAATCCAAGCCCTTTTTGCTTGCGAAACATCCTGGCGGATGACAGCTGGGCCCTCCAGCTCACAAGCAGTACAGCAAGAAGCTCAGAAGACAACCTGGAGCACTGCTTCCTTGTGCGTGTGCGTGACTCACGGAAAGCTGTGTGAATCACAAAATTCCACCAGCACGGTGGGGTAGGGCAAAACTACTCTCCGAACAGACATGTCTGAAGTCGCCCTACGGTAGATGTATGCTGGCCACACGCACTTTGCCCAGTCAGAAAAGCTTGTTTTGCTTTTGAATAATTAACTTAGGTTTGTATTTTGCTGTTAAAATACATTCCTCGGCCCTTATACATTCTTCTGAGGAACAGAGTGACCTGTGTACAGACCCCTGTGGTAGCAAACATGCATCCTCACTACTTAAAAAAAACACATCTGCCCCAGAAAGGAAGCTGGAATTCACCCATGCAATTAGGTTAGGTTAATGTTGGCGATGAGTGGATAGATATTATCCGATATCGTATTTTGTAATCCTCTGCTAAGCAGGATGCTGTTCCCTTTGGGAGCCAACAAAATAGCTACTCATTCACTGTCAGACTTGAGCAAAGTCGAGAGCAATCCCTGAAGGTCTGAGACGAGTTTATTCTAGAACCTGGTGATGGTCCAGAGTAATTTATAAAGGTCACTAAATTCCACGTTCAGGTTGTAGGTTTCTTTAAACCAATATTTATCTGTACAAATCTCAGGAGAAAAGACAACACGTCTCCTTTTACAAGGGAACTTTACAATGGTCTTTTAGTTATCAACTTCTTTGGTTCTATGCCAATAATCTTTTACTCTTTTTCTAATCTTTAATTAATCCTTTTTATAAACAATTTACACTCGGCATATTCTGCTCAGAGTATATCGTTTGCTGTGTATACGTAACGCAACAAGATCTTCAACATCCAGGCAAATGTTTTCATATATTAGGAATGTAAATAAGTGTGTGGGTATATCAAGAAAAATTACCAGACTCCTGAAAATTGAGCTCTCATACTTCCCTTGAACTCAGTGGGAATTTGTGAGCTCTCAGCAGTTAGACAAGACAGTGAGAAAGTTTCCAACTTAAGTTCACAATGCTTGACTTAAGGCAAACACTTCTGAAAGTGCTGCCCTGAATTTTCCAAGTCCTGTTTCCTCTGGCAAAGCCACGACTTCTCCAAATCACATACAAAATGCATCACTTTCAGATGCGTTCAGATTAAAAGAGAAACCTGAAAAGGTCCTGAGAAGGGCAAGGAGGAGAGTTATTTACCTGCAAGTTTTCCTCTACAAAAATAAAATACTGTAATAGCTTAAGGTGTTTCAACATGCAGTTTCTATTTGGTTTTATCACATTCAAACATAAGAGAGCATTTTGAGCATTATATATATACAGAAATGACAAATATACCTGCTTGACTAGAGTTACATTTGCAAATAGAAAGTGAGGGAAAACACAGTTTTGGCTGCACAGATTCTTTCATTTTTCTGTAAAAATGATAAATGCATATTCCAGTTCCATAAACACAAGTGATTTAAAGTATGTAGTGCTTATAATGGCCAGGTTGAAGCCATTTTGTAAATGCAGCCCTTAGAACAACCAAATACTACTTTTCTGGGCTGTTGCTTAAGAAAACACCATTGAACACTTACAGATGGCAAATAAAAAACAACTTTTGAAGCTGGAGTCTTGCATGGGAATTTCGCCTCGGGAAGCAGGCAAGATGAGGTCTCACTTTGTGCACTGGTTGCTAAAGAATATATATTACAAAAGGAAGCCACTTAATAAGGCTATAGTAGATCTGACTTACCACAAGAGCAGCATGTGAAGCAGTTGGTATGATAGAGGTTACCCATTGCTTGGCAAGCCTGGCTCGCTCCATACACACCTTTTCCACATTTTATACAAATACCTACAAAGCAGAAAGAGAATGAAAGTTAGAGTCCTCCGCGGCTCCTAAAAACAGCTCCAGGCCATTGATTCATAACACTCATGATACACCCATCAGGCCCCAGATCAATAAGCTCCTCACCCTGAATAGATTCAAGTACCCAAGACAGCAACAGGTGGCTTGAGTGAAACAAACGCATGGGAATTAACCCAAATTAAAAGAGAGTGTGTGGGGGAAGCCTCTGCTGGTGTTTCCATGCATGGAGACTGGGGCTGGCCAAAGACAGAAATCCGAAGGAGGCAGGTGCAATGAGAGAGGACAGAAAACCTGCACACTTCTTGGAAATAATTCCCATTGCCCAAGAGATAACTTAGACCTTCACAACTAGGTGCTCCACCACATTACATTCAATAATCACTAATAAAACAACAATTCGGTCCAAAACCAAAAGACTTCTCTTTGCCCCTCTCCAGCAGTGCAACATCAAGAGCGTTGGTCCATGTGGAAGCCATGCAGTACTGGGAAAATGGGTCTGTCAGTCACATTTAGTAATTGTTTAACTTTCCACAAATAGTAGTATGTAACCTCATAAACATAACCTGGCACCTTACAAAACAGAAGTGCAAGGCTTCTACCTTCCTTATAGTCTAAGGGCAAAAATTCTGGCTGGCAGTTTTGCTTCAGTAGGCTCAGAAATTCACCTCTGCTGCCTGAGCCTGCTCTTGGGGATGCCTCCCATGAAGTCTGCATGAGACCAAAGTATGAAGAGCCAATGTAGCACTGGCAAAGTCAGTGGTTAGCTCCACACACAGCAGACTCACAGGAAATGTCATGATTTTAATAAGCTCTACAAAGAGGGGGGTTTGGGATATTTTTTTGTTTGTTTTTAAAAAGCTTTTTCCTCATAGTTATAGCTTTAAGAGTCTTTTGCCTATGCATTTATTTCTATCTACACATAATCTCTCTAAATTCAAACCAAGGCAGGGAGATAAATCAAGAATTCTGTATCCCCATGAAGAGGAAATGAAATGCTGGAGAATCCATGTCCTTCTGTCACATACTCAGGACCACAGATTCTAAGTTCTCCCGAGATGTCCTCTGGTCTCTATTTGATTGTAGCAGGACAGTGCATCTCAAGACAAGGCTGTGTGATTTTGAAAACACTAGAGTAGAAAATAAAAATTGAGATTTCTGCCTCATACAACTCTATAATGAAGCTGCTGTGCTCCATGTGCTCTTTGAGGCCCTATTTCTACAAAAGCACACACAAGCTTAGCATTAATCATCAGCATCAACAAAGCTGCTAATATACTTCAGAGTCTAGGAACTCAAGAACTACAAAATTGGGCTTTAAATTCTCCCCTGCTGTGTTGTGAACATTTTATACACAAACACACAGAAAATACAAATGCAAGCTGCTCGGGGGGGGGGGGGGGGGGGGGAAAGCTGAGAA